AGCCATCCAACAAATATTTATTTAGTGCTTACTATGCAATAGGCATTAGTCCAGATGCTGAGGATACAGCATGAATTCCAGATCTTACAGGAATTCTTATTATATATTATTTTCCAAATGTGCCACATAGAATTAAATACGATAAAAAATAACTATATACCATGACCAAATGGGGTTTATTCCAAGGATGTAAAACTGATTCAACATTCAAAAATCAATCAGTATAATTATCATATTAATAAGGTTAAAGGAGAAAAACCATATGGTTATATCAATCAATGAAAAAAACATTTGACAAAACTCAACACCCATTCATGATAAAAACTCTAAAAAAAAAAAAAAAATACTGACACAGGCAAAATCCTGAATGAATCTCCAGAGAATTATGCTGAGTGAACAAAGTCAATCCTGAAGGGTTACACATTCCACTTATATAACATCCTTGACAAAATTTAGGGATGGACAGCAGATTAATGGTTGTCAGTGGTTAAGAAGGGGGCTTGATTCCAGTCACGACACATACTCAGGTTTTGGGGCTGTGATCTCTGCAAACTGTTTAACCTCCAGGATATGTTTTTATTGATTTTAGAAGAAAATTAAAAAAAAAAAACATATCTTCATGACTTTGGGGTAGGCAAAGATTTCCTGAATACACAAAAGGCACTAATACAAGAGAACAAGTAACCAATCGTACCACATTAAACGTAACCTCTGGTTATCAAAAGGCACCATTAAGAGAAGGAAAAACCAAGCCAAGACAGTGAGAAGCGATATTTGCAATGCACATGACTGATGAAGGACTTGAAGGACTCATATTCAGAACATATCAAAAAACTCCTACAAATTGGCAAGGAAAAGGCAGACCACTCAACAGAAAAATCAGCAGAAGATTTCATTAGGCACCACACAAAAGAAGACACCCAAATGGCAATAAGCATATAAAAGATCTCATCTCCATTCGCCATTAGGGAAGTACAAATTAACACCACCACACAACCACAAGAATGGCGACAATGAAAAAGACTGACAATAGTAAGTACTGGGAAGGATGTGGAGAAACTGGAAAACTCATACTCGGTTAGTAGATGTGTCAGTTGGTATAAGCATTTTGAAAAACTAAGGCAGTATCTACTAAAGCTGAACATTCATGCCAGCCCCCCACAATTCTACTCCTGGGTACATACCCCAAATGACTGTGTACAAACATTCACCAAAATACACGTCCAAGTACATTTGTCAAACTGGTCATAACAGCCCATATCATGCCTGCCTGTCTACACTCTCTATTTCAAGTGCTTGTTACTTATAGTCTGGACTACTGTCATGGCTTCCTAATTCCCTAATTTACTACATCTAAATGCTTCCAGTTTAATCAGAGCAAGAAAGCTCTAATCCTGTTAC